GGCATTCCCATCACAAGCCACAGGCCTGCTGATGCAGCTGCAAACCCAGATCGCTTCACTCATGCCACAGTCACCTCTTGGGAGGTCACGTCCCCTTACTCATCCCAAATGCAGTGAGAGAGAGGAGCAGAAGAGAAGAAAAACAGTGATGCACTTCATTTGGCAGCGGTTCTCCTTTCCCGTTCCCACTAGTCAAGCGTGCCTGCAGCAACTGAGTGACAGGATTAATCCTACTTCACAGTGATGTCATGGCAGGCCTGAAGTAGGGAAGCGGTTTGAAGAGGTTTATCTAAAAGTTCATCTCTGTTTGCTTCTGTGCTGTAACCTCAGGGTGCCCTGCTTGGAGCAACTCAGCAAGCGCGTGGCTCCCCTGACGTGGCTTTATGCACTTCCCATCTCCACATTGCCACATCCCTCCTAAACAAAACTGTAACCTTGCTTTGCCCAGCTCTACGCTGCTTGATTTAGCAACGATTATAACATCCACATGGTGTTTTGGTGCCTGACTCCTTCAGGAACCTTCATTTCATTTTAATGCTTTTTTGTTTCACATGCAAAGCCCGCAGTGAAGAAATCCTTGAAGTCAGGAAGCAATGCGACAACCAGAGGACACCTCCCTGTGTCTACAGACAGAAAGACAGCCCATCTTTGGGGGTGTGCACTAATCCCGTTTTTTTCCAGCAGCTTGAGCCCCCATTATGCCAAATTAAATTATCAATCTTATTTGTCTCCCTGAGCCTACTTTGATAAGTGGAGTTGCACTGCAGGTAACACTCATTTCAGAGTGGTTCACAGGGTGCTCTCAACACATGCCAGTGTCTGACACGGGCCCAGTTCCTTAGACATGAGTACTCCAGCTGAAGCCCTCCATCTGACTGCAGCCTCCTTTGCAGTTTCAGACCAAAAGCTCTGCTTTCTCCAGTCTTAATCACTGCTCACCAGAGAGCTGATTTCATGTACTGCGATTGCCTTTTTGCCACAAAAGTCATCAAGGCTTTTATCATCAAGCCAGATAGAGAAGGAAAGGAAGTGCTGTTACTGAGTCACAACCCCATCAAAAGCCTGGCTTCAAAGGGAAGGAAAACTCCATTATCACAAAAAGCTCCAGGATCTGCAATTAGCAACTGAGAAGATGAAGGGAAATCTGAAACACTTCGGTAAAGGGGCTGGGGCAGCTCCAGCCAGCTGGTATCGCTCCCTCTTGCTCCAGCCCGTGTTTCAATACTTCCTGACATAAAGATGTACTGCTTTCTGAGTCACCACTGCCCGAGCTGGGACAAGCCCACTGCCTGGGTATGTCCAGTCTGCTTTGCTTACAACGTGAGTAAGACCGCAGCTCTCCGCAAATCAGTCACCAGATTTCTCATCGTAGCACTAGCCAGGAAATCAGAGCCAAGCAAGGAGCTGGACATGAGATGCCAAAGTTCTTGGGGGTGGGATGGGGACTATATCATGTCTTAAGAGCTTCCCCTTTGCTGTGGAGCCCTCCACATCATGTTGCTTTGGGAGGAGAGGAAGGAGGGCTTGCTTATCTCAACAGTGGGGACAGAAAGGCTTCTTTGACTTGGGGAAAGGAGCAGAGGGAAGAGTCTTTCTGAACTTCCACATTTCTCCTTTCCCAGCGGGTGGCATGGGTGACCCAACTAGAATAAAAAAGGGTGGGGGGAGACACTAAATCTGGATGTCCTCAGAGGATTTGCATATATTAGTTCCTTTCAAGATCAAATTCCCGCAACTGGCTCAGCACTCTTGCGATATCGAGTTTGGGGGCAGAAACTGGATGTAGCAGTTGTGTAAGACAGGCCTTCGGGGCAGATCTGTCGCACACAAGGACAAAAATAAACTGGTTAATTTTTCCCCCTGCAGACTTTGTCTCTCTCTGGCTGGATCACTTTGTTCTGCCTCTATATTTATCTCCCAGCTGAAGATGTTCTCAGATAATTTTCCTAATTCCTCCAGCACCACTGCCATGCACACTGCTGCCCTCACAGCTCAGCTTTTGAAGTCGAGGTCCTTCCCCACTGCTTAAGGCCATAGTTTTCTTCAGCACTTGCTATAATCTCACTGCCTTGTGTGCTCCCCAAGTAGCCAGCCCACTCTTGAAACTAACAGAAGGTGAAAGTGTCCAGTAACCAGGAATATCTCACAAAAGCCCACTCAAAATTAGAAAAGTTATATTTTTTAGTATTTTTTTCCCTTTTGCTTCTAAAGGACTTGCCACAGCCACATTCAGCAAACAATGCTACAGGCCTGCCAGCCCTTGTATCATTATAAAACCCTGGTCCCTGCTCAGGCACTAACTCAGGAACACTTCACAGGTGACAACCTTAAGAATGACCCTGTAGGTGGAGGACTGGCTGGAGCAGAGATTAAACAGCCCTGTATAAAAGTGCAGCATGGCGAACGGTAATTAACTGAAGGATGACTGAGGAAATGAGGCCAAAGCAGTCCAGAGATGACTGAAAGCTCTAAAAGTCACAGAGGGAGTGAAATGAGAGGCTTGTGTAGGGGCTGCTGTGGGCACTGGCAGGGTGGCTCAGAGAAGGGGCTCCTCAGCTGGGAGGAAGCAGAGCCTGACAGTCTCTTCAGACTGATGCACTTCCCTTGGCCCAGGGAGGAAATACTTGTCTGCCATGCATTTAAAACTACCCCCGAGGGTCCCTGCCATGGCATGAGTAGTGGTGCACACAGAGACTTGCTCCATGGTCTTTCTAATAACTCGTTCTATGCCACGGTAGCATTCTGAGCTGACAAGAAGGTGAATGCCGTTCGGGCGCAGTGTAGCTAGGGGTGCCACCATTAGCCAGCAGTCAGCACTTTTATTTTCAGCCAGGGAGTCCCCTGGGACCAATGATATTTTAAAAGCATAACAGTGAAAAAGCAGAATTAAAGCCTGTGACATTTCCGTGTTGGGAAGGACTTACATACTCTCAAATGACCTCCCGAGGCTCCCAATGGTGATGCCCCTCCAAGGGGACACAACAGCTACAATTAAACATAAAGTTCATCTATTTACAAACAAAACCGACCCCCTTTTGCCAAGCAAACAGACTCCACTGCATTCAGCACACTCGCCTTGCCACCTCATGAAAAATACCACATCTACATGCACGCAGCACTTATATTAGGAAACACATGTTTAAAAGGAAGAAGAGTTTCTCCGAATGTGGATATTCTCCTCCGGCCTGGCACAACCTGTGGGTGCAGCCAGAAGACAAACTGGCACTGATCTCGCACCTTCTCCGCAGGAGCAGAGGGGATCTGGCTCCCCTCTGGGGAGCTCCCTTCCAACCCCATGACCTCCCATTGCTTTCATTGCAGGGCTCTTCAGAGGCTGGTTCAATATGTTGGTGTAAAACAAGGGGAAAAAAAGAAACTTTCTGCTAAGCCAGTTGGATCAACCAAGGATCAGACACATACTTAGAACCAGTGCAAAGAAGAGGAAGCTCGCATAGCCAGAAGCAGAGGAGAGGGGAGCAGGACTGCACCTTTAGGTGGCAATGAGCTGTTTGCCCCCCTCAGCTGTGCAGCCTGTCTGCATCCCCCTCCATGGTACACAGCATTGGGTATAAAAGCAAACTGGCACTAAAGAGAGCGGGCTGACCCCTGCAGAAAACCAGCTTATCACTGGCGAGGCAGGGGGATAACCCCGCCAGTGGCAGCCTTCATTTATGTCAGATTAATTACGCCCATTAAACCATGCTTGTAACTCAGAACCGAGGCAGCAATGAGCAGGAAAGATGAGGGTGTACAGGGTGGCAACTTCTCTTGGTAACCTGCTGCAATGCACAAAATCTTCAGCCCCAAACTTTGCATGTTTAAGTGCAGGAATGTCTGACATCCAAGTTGCAAAAAGGATACAAATGTCTCAGTGATCCAAGAAATGCAAAAAAGCTGTTGCCTTCAGAGTGATGTGAGCTCACTCTTGCTACCTGGGTTCATTCTCATCTAACTGGGAAAAAAACCTACGTGTGTGAAAGGAATGTTTGACTGGTAGCTTGACACACTTGATATGCAGGCATGTAACTGTATTTTGACTGTGCAAGAATGTAGCTTGTCTCCATTTAATTTTCTTTTTTCCTAAAGAGTTTTTCATTTAAGAAACCCCAAACAGAGTCTATAAGCAAAAGCAGGAGCCTTTAGAAGGGTTTCTGTTTCCCCAGACAAGCTGTTACAGCAGGTTTTGCTCTGGACAGGCAGACAGACAAAGGAGATCCTTAGTTCTGCTGCTCTTGTTTTTGAACCGTAGACATTTATTTTCTGCATGTCTGGAACAGGAGGAGAGAGAAACTCATCCGAAAAAGAAATGTAAAAAATGAGCTGAGGGCAGCAAGAGCAATAAGATGGAAACTCAATTTGCATCCAGTGACCAAGTAGGCAAATCCGGTACGTACAGAAAAGCTTCCGTCATCTCCCCCATGAACCCATACCAGAGTGGACATGGAAATCACATGCTAAGCACCTAAAGCTCATTGCCAGACACTTGTTGTGTTGTGGAGTGGCCATGAAACATGGAATCTTTCTTATTCTCAACCCTTTTTGTCCCTGTCCGAAACCCAGCTCCACTCCGGGCACTTCATTGGCAGTAACATGCGGGAGGGGATTCCCAGAGCGAGTTACTCATGAGACAGTGCTTGCTTGCAATGAGGAGGGAAGTGGATATTCCCTCCCCACCCCAACTCTCCAATAACTCAGAAAAGCTGCAGGGATTTTCCTCAAAACTTCACAAAACTTTTCACCGTTGGGAAGAAACCAAGAACTAGGTGGTCCCCAGTCAAAAGAAAAGACTCCAGGGAAGCTTAAGAGGAATGCTCCATGGACACAAAACTGGGCTCACTTTGTGCCTATGTTTGCACACAGGGCAGGGAAAGGTCGAACTGAGGGACTTCTAGCAACACTTTCCTGGTATAACAAACTGGGACTGAGAAGACCCTGCAGTGTTTAGGAAGGTGTGAAGGTGCAATGGCAGGAGGAAAAAAAAATCCCATGGGGATACCGTCAATGTGTTGAGACCATAAATGAATAAGTTTGTGCTGTCATCAAGGCTGCTCTACCACTTTTCCACTGTGCTGAGGTAGTAGGGCATTCATGCACATCAGTGTCTCCACCAGCAGACAACACCTCAGCTCTAAATTACACTGGCACTTCAGTGGGTCACCTCTGGCGAACCCCAGAGCAGCAAAATTCAGTTCAAGGGAAACACATGTACCTACATAGCTTGGGCATACACTGTTTCCTGTGAAATAGAATCTTCAAATAATCCCTTTCAATAAAGCCCCCCATTAATGCCTTCTGCTGTGATGTGAAAGTTCAGCCTGGCATTCCCTATATTACCATTTTACTCACACAGGGTATACAGAGAGCACCCTTGCATCCTAGCATGCTAACTGACCTTTTGGAGCTGCACAAGCAACAGGATGCCTGGTCTAAAATGAAGGATGCAAGACGTAGCCACAGGCTCTGGGTGCCTTGATGTGGACATGAGCAGTCCCACATGCATCAGTTCTATAAATGCTGGCTTTGGTGACCCACTTAACAGTGTGTGAGAAGGGCAACGGCAGGGAGATGACAGACTCCCAGGGCTCTACCTTTTCACCAGAGCAAGGTCTGAAGTCAAACCTGGTGGTCCCTGTGGGCATCAGCTACAAGTCCAAGTAAAGCTTTTAAAACCACTCGTTTGAGGGTAGTGTACCATATATTTTCACGGGTCACTAATGTAGGAATACCTCTTTTTGGAGAGGAAGGTGGCAGGGTGTCCCTGCCTGAATAGAGAGAGAGAAAGGAAGTGCATTGGCTGTGCTGTTCTTACCAGTCTGCCAAGCAACCTGAGGCACCAGGACTTCCATTGGCGTATTGCGTGGGAAGCATGTAACAATTATGCCCCAAAAGCTGATATAATGCTTTTAAAATAGCTTCCCCCCGCCTCTTGCAGAATTAAACCCCAGAATTTTGTAATAGATCAGACTAGGAGAACTCGGTCTTCTCAGCAAGAGGACGACCGAATCCTGCTGGCCTGTGGATTTGTGCCTTATTTTTCCCAGCCCAGGAGCCTGTCCCCATGCCTCCCCGCACATTCCCAAGCCCTTGATGCCACTGTGACCCTTACAGCCCCTCTCAGCTGCTTTCTGCCCTTTCTATCGGCTCGCCATGAGGAGGGGCAGCACGACCTCTGGCTGTTGGGGTGCTGCTTGTGGCTAACCAGTAGCTCCCATCCAGCGGGCAAGGACACCACATCTCTGCCAGCTCTGCCTTCCTGCAAATGTGGTTGAAACCGAGCCAGGGATTTCAAAGTTACAAGCAGGGGTTTAAGACACAGAGGGAGAAGGCAGGATAAACCATCATTCCCTTAGTAAGGCATATCAAAAAAAGCATAACTATAGGAACACCTACTTTTCTATTATCAAATTCCTATTTCTATATTGGACATTAACATGCATCAGACTGTATATCCATGTATTGCTGGGTTTTGGCCTTGGAATCAGCATTATTTTTAGAGAAACTAGATGACCGGTGAATTACCACATGCCTATAATTACATTAATAACATACCACAAGCTCATAAAATACAGAGAAAGAAACAGTTCTGCACGTGATAAATTGTTTGCCCATTATAGTACAGGCAAAATACATCCGTGCTTGATATGTGCTTCCCAAACACAGAGGTAGGAGAAGGGGGAAGACAGGAGAGCAGAGATCTCATGAGCAGCGTTTGGGGTGGTTGCTTTCTCTACAAGTGAGCTCTGTGATTCAATCCTTGTTCAAATCTCTGAGTTACGCTTTAAGATTCTGAGACTGAAACTCAAAATGAAACTCAGCATCAAATATCTCCTAGTTTCAAAACACCAGCATGAAAAGACTCCTAATTTTGCATCACTTGTTTTTTAATCAAAGCCTCAGTGCAGCCCAGGTTTGCTCTAGAGTATCATTAGCTGCAACGAAACACTGAAATTGCCAATAAGCACAACCTGTTTTGCATCCATAACAAACCCCACCTCAGAAGTGAGTTCTGTGTGGTTTCAAGGTTAACACCTCACACGGCTAAGAGGACTCTTCCCAAGCCTCTTGAGGTCAGGAGGGACCCGTGGACTTCAATGAACTTTGCAGCAGCTCCTCAGAGAAGGATGGGTGACAGCCCTTGAAGTCCTCTGACAGGGACTTGTTGGGGAAAGCTCTCGCGGTGTCCTGCGCTATCCAGGCAGCAGAGAGCCCTCCAGTTGACACCCTGCCCTGTCTTCCCCACCACATGCTCACTTTTATCCATCCAAAACACTGCAGAAACCACCCCACCGCCAAAGCCCGAGGGGCTGCACCACAGCCACCCCGAAAACACTTTTCTCACCGCAGCTGGGATGATGGGTGACCACCTTGCCCCTC